GGTCTTTTCTTATGGCAAGCTTGGAGGAGCTCAGTGAAGCTTCCACCTTTTGCATACAATGCGGCAATGTAGCACAATGCGTTGCAATACACCATATTCTGTGTGGAGCCATCCAAGGCCTGCACTTCAGCAGTCTGCAGCAGAGGGCCCAGCTGGCCTCCATGCATAGAATCCAAGAGCTGTCGCCTGGCAGCCCTTTGGTCCTTGCTTGAAGTCAATTCAGGGATCCCACTCTTCTTGCACTCATTCAGTATGCTTTCCAGGGCTGCTTGGGAATGTGCAGGGAGCCTCTCTTTGAAGTCTTGCAGCCTTGCTAGTTTGGCAGCCCTGCCATGACTGGACATGGGAAGGGCAAATGCACAGTCAACATCATTGGCTGGAGCACATGCGACTGCAAAAACACAATGAGATGATGTGGGAAGTTCTGTTATGGGGTAACCGATTACAACTTGTGTATGCTTCTGTGCTGCAACAGCATGCATTCATAGTTTCTGGTTTGGCTGTTACACAGAGAAGCTTAGAGCCCACAACTTTCAGGGATTGAAGCCACTAAAGGTTTGGTAAATTGCACAGCAAGCAGGAAAAGCCAACAGGCTGTAGCCAACCGGCTTCAGGCTTGCAGGTTCACATGCACACAAAAAGAAGCCAACAGGCTGACACAAGTTCACAACAAATTTGCAGCAGTTAACAATTGTCTTTTTGCCTTCACAGCTAACTGGTGCTCTTGTGTCTTGGCAACCCCTACAACAATGCCACTTGGCAAGTTGCTCACCCAAAATGCCAAGTCATACACATATGAGCTCCACATAGCTAACCATCAACCAGCAGCATTCAAAGACCAGTGGCCAGCTCTTGCCCTTCTTCAAAAAAATCACTTGGACTTTGCTTGCTTTGCAGCGTACCAAGTTTTCCAAGCTTCCCTTCCAGCCAAGCGAATGCCCTTGTAAGTGGGCTGGATGCATACTGAGCAACCTCCCAAGGCTCCCCTGCACCTTGGACAGCCAAACTTGGCTCTAGCAGGTGCATTCTTGACCTTGGGACAAGCGCTTGGTCTCTTCATTGGCTTTGTGGAACCAACACTTGGTGATCCCTTCCCTTTCTTGGCCTTGGCCTTGGCTGCAAGGGCTTGGAAGGCTTGTTGGAATCATTGTCCATTTTGCAGTCTTCCTTCTTGACTGCTGACTCAGCAGGGGTGCTAGGCAAAGGCAAAGGAGGCTTTGGCGAAGGGCTTGGAGGTGCAGGTAAAGCCAACTGGCTTGCATGCTCATGGCCTGAAGACAAGCTCTCTGAGGAAACCACTTGCTGGTCATTGCTGGCTCTTCTTTGGTTAAGGTAAACAACCCTTGGCTCTTGAGAGGGTTGGACCCACCTCTCCAAGAGGCCCAAGAGTTGAGTTTCCAAGCTTGTACCAGGCACTCTTGCAACCGATCCAGCCTTTGGAGTCTCCTCTGGTTCTTTCAGGGACAAATGGCCCTTCCTCAGAATCACCTGAGGGAAACAGTAGACCAAAACAAAAATGAAAATGAATGACTAGAACACAGATTGCTAATTTGCAGTTGTTATGATTGGCAAAGTCTTGCCTTTTGAAGCCAAATGCCCAAAGAGACCTGCTTGTTAGCTGGTGGCTGTCCAGGGTATGCCTTCATGCAAAACTCTGCTGGCAAAGCAGTGGGATCTGGTGGATATGTTGGCAAGCTTGCAGGTGCACCTGGTGGAGCAGGCATTCTCTTGAAAAGGTCTGCAAAGTCATTCACCAAAGACTTCACCATCTTGCTAGAAGGCTCTGGCTTCTGCTGCACATCCACTTGCATATGCAAGAGCAAAGCTATTGCCTCCCTTTTGCTGGACTCCTTCAAGCTCACCATACCAAGGTGCTTCATTCTCTGGGCCAGCACTTGCATTGCTTCATGGTTGCTACATTGGCTGAGCTTGCTCCACTCCTCTTCTGTCAAGTAAGCTGCCAAATTGCTTACTCTCTGAGGTGTAGCTTGAAGCCTCAGGTGGCTTTGTGCATGTGAGAGCCAAGCAGGTCCAACTGCTCCAGGATCTTGTCTTTCCATGTCTCAGGCAAAGCCATGGAGCCAACCTTATCCATGATCTCCAAGACATTCTGGGATGTCCATTCTTGAATGGCAGAGAGCCTGGTGCAGAAGTTGTCCAGCATTGCCTCACAGACTTTGCTGTCTGGTCGAGCAGCTTGCAACTTCCCCAAATTGTCCAGCTCTAGGACAAAATCCTGCACCTTCCATAGGTGTGTCATGTCACCTACAAGGTCACTAGTCTGTGGTGCAGGGCTGCAACAGCTTTGAACCCCAATGCTGAGCAAGGAGCTCAATGGTGGCCACAGTGTTTGCTGCATGAGTTGGCACATCAGAAAAGCCACCCGGTTTTTTGTACTATAGCCAACAGGCTGGACACAATGGAGCCTGCTTGGGCCAAAAGCCAACAGGCTGAAGACTATTGAGCCAACAGGCTTAAGACCAAACAGCCAACAGGCTTCCACAAGCAACCTCCAAAGTTGCATGAAGAAGCCAACAGGCTAAAGACTCAACAGCCAACAGGCTTCAACAAGAAAGTGTTTAAGCTTGCAAAAGGAAGCCTACAGGCTTGACCTAAAATAGCCAACAGGCTTTGCTGAAAAAAGGCACCTACATATACACATATATATATATATATCTATACTTTTGCATACAGGTCAAAGCCCACAGGCTGTAGTGGACAGCTAGTGGGTGGCGCATTGCATGATCATTTTTTCTCCTGCCATAGTATGGTCACCAGGACCTGTTTGGGTCGTGTCCATAGTGCAGCAGCTGCTCATTGTGCACATCCACAAGGTCACCCATGGTCTGCTGCTGATCCCTGCAGGGAATAGATGTGGTTTGGTGAAACAACATGAGACCACAAAACCACAGCATTGGAAAACCATAAAGCACATTATATGTTTTCCCAAGTGCCTTCCAACTTTGATCCTCCTATACCTGTGCAAAAACCCATTGATTTCCAGGTAAACAAGGAAACCACAGGAAGCAGCATCAAAGAAACTAGAAAAATGCAAAACTTGATTGAACCAAATCAGAATGCTGAAGGCTTAGGCGATGCATCTCCCTCCAGTCTGACCGCTCCCAGGCTGCCAGCAAGCACACCGTTCTGTTTGCCCACCCCATCCTATCTTGTGAAGGTCTGCTATATCGCTTTCCATAGCCTTTACCCTTTCCTTTCCCAGCAACAAAACCTTTTCCCTTCTGAGGGGGTGGGTGAGCAGGTTCTGCAGGTCGAAGTCTGCTCGCAGGCACTGCTTCATCTGGAGGTCCCACAGGTAGTTGCTCTCCTCTCCAGGGGGCTTGAGGTCCTTCTGGTGCAACAGGTTCAGCAGGAGCAGGAGCCTCAGCCAACCGGCTTCCACATGCATGGTCAGTGTCGCCATCACTTGCTTCAGCCAACTGGCTTGGATCTTCAAGAACTGTGGGTGCCACTGATGCACTATCAGCTTGAGGAACTTCAGGGGACTTTGTTCTCGACCTGGGCACAGGTTCAACAGCATCCTCCATCTCTTCTAGTGATCTGAGATACTCAT